CTGATCACTCCAGTGTTTGCTCTGCACAGAAGATCGGTAAATATCACACATATTTACCAATCCTCCTGCTAAGTCAATCCGACCCGCTAGGCCACGCACAGATGACAGAGCTCCGATCTGCACACCGCTCGGCCATCCTGAACTTGCTGCTCCTTCTTCCGCCCCCCGCCGGCCATTTCTCCTTGGATCCCCGCTGCCTCAGCCCATAGAAGCAGGTGAGAGCAGTGGGGATCTGAGGAGAAACAGATCTCTGCCTGGAGCGACCATGAGCTTATAGCAGAACGGTAAAAGTCACCGACGTATGGCATACTGACGTGGTCATCTGGGAACAGTTTTGTTCCGTTGTATGCCATACATTGGTGGCAAGGAATTTTTTTTGGGGGGGGGTTATTGATTTATTTGACACATTTAAAAAAAAAATTTGACACTCAAATTTATTGCTATCACATAGGGGGTTTACAAGGTTCCAATCCTGCAGGAGGGGTAGCACAGCCTGGGATACATGGCAGGGAAGGGGGCACCCATGCTGCGAGACTCAGGGAAGCGATCAGTCGGCTCTACAGCCACCTGGATCACTTCCACTAGATAGCTGGGAGTTAGATGAAGAAATGTAAACTAACTCCCTGCTGCTATAATAGCCAAACGTCAGTTTACAGGGTAGTAATTATGGCAGCAGAAAGGTTAGGTGGCAGCGAAAGGCGTAAACTCATCTTACATCTTCCTGTATTTCTAGTTACTCAAAGCTCTGGTGGGGCTGGTAAAAATGACTCTCTGCTCTTCTCTGAGAGCTAGGGCTATAGTGTCTCTGTTAGGGGGAAAAGCATAGATGAGAAATATTACTACCAAAAACCAGAACACATCACATTCCCCAGAGGAGTCCGAAATATTTATCTCATCCACAACAAGATGGAGACTGTCGTCACCTGCTGGAAATATGTAATGCTGTGAAGGAGTCAGATGATAGTCTGTGTCAATGATGTGACAAGGCTAGAAATAAAAAGATACATCAGTATAGACTTTAATGCATACATTATCAGCACATAAAATACAAGTAAGATTAAATATAAAATACTAAGTTAAATATAAT